GGGAATGTTTCTACCATCACGGTAAAAGCCTGTAAACAGTCCCTGAGACAAGCTTTTTCCCACTTCAAAGTCTACGTGTGACAGGAGTGCCAGGGAATTAGAAGGAGATGTATTCTAGTTGACTATAGGGCATGACAAACAGCTTCTGCTATTTTAACTTGAGAACTGGATTTCTGGAAAAGTATTCTGCCCTGTGGGAAAATAAGGTTTAAAAGGGATTAGTCTGAACCCAAATAACATCTAGCTTGTTTCTTGCAAAGCAAATCAATGTTTACCTGGTGCGTATTTTGTGAGAATTCACTCGCGTACTCTTCCAGATTACCATTGTACAGCACCTACAGACGAGCCTGTGCCGCTGATAGAGCTGCTGTCAGATGTACATTCAGGAATGTACACCGTGTATTCCAAATTACAGCTGTTTTTTGTCATTACAGAAGAATGACAATTATTTTTATGAAATAAAGGCAACTTATCTTAGAAAATCAAATCAGATTTTGTTTGAACAGTTAAAATGTTGCAATGTAAGTCTTCAGGCAAAGTCTTATTATTATAAATTATTCTTGCACTAGATGTCTTCAAGTAGCAGTAGTATATTGTAGTAGTTCAGGTGGGGAGCTGTGTCAGCATGCGTAGGCTGCAAAGGAACAAGTAATAGGTTTATTCCATGCTGAAAGAAAAGAAGAAAGAAAACAGCGTTTCAGCCTTGGAGAAAAGAGGCACGTTGTGTTCTCTTTCTTCTTTTTTTCAGCATGGAATAAACCTATTACTTGTTCCTTTGCAGTAGTATATAGGTATTCAATGATTTAACATCAGCTGAGGTCTTTACATACTGTCTTGTGTGTTTGACACTTCAATACCTTTAACTCATCTGATTTTAAAAACAAAAGGTTGCGCAGTTGTTTTGCTTTAAACCATGGGAATTTCCAATTAACAGATTCTAGATTTTGTACACATCCTTCAGTAGTTTTTTTTTCTTTCCATATGCTTGTATTACCTTCCTTCAGAGAGTTCACTTTGTGGCGTTTTATTTGGCTGAGCAGTACTGCAGACAGTTTGGTGTGTGTTGACCCTTATCATTGACAAACTCATACATGTGAATTTTTTTTTAAACTGTTGTGTTGGGGATAACGCCTTACACACACCCACTTTCCCATTTCCTAAATTTCAACTTAACTCAGTTGTTACTTATTTTTTCTTTCTACTTTTTTTTTTCAAATTTGGTACCACAAATACAGAGTATGTGCAAAGCTGTAAAAAAGGAACAGAAAAGATTGAAAGAAAGAGAATGAAATCCTGTCTCTATTAGACAAGTATAAGCATTTGCCCAATTAGGCCCTGACCTGGCCCCCACAGCAGGAGACTTTAACTGTGCACAGAGAGGGGTCCTTTATACCTCACATCAAAGCACAGACAGGATGCAATAGAGCAGAAATTGTCTAAAAAATAAAGAAATTATGAGGTTTCTTACTTCCATTGCACGATGTATAAGTGTATATATATATTTCTTGCATTATCTTGTGTTTCCTTTTTGGTGAACCTTTTTGTACCACATCTCCCCAGGAAGGAGATAAGAGGGGTGAGATCTCTGTAGGAGGAGTAAGCATCACATTGCCTGATAAGAAATCAGGCACTGTGTACTAATATGTCCTTATTGTGTGACAATGTCTTTGATTGTAGATTGCTTTTTCTTTCAGTTTTCACAATATGTGCCTCCCTGCAAAGTTTTATTGTTAATTTAATGTATTATTTATTATTTAAGTTTTAAGAATGGTTTATTTAATGTTCAATTAATGTTTGAGTGATAAATCACTGTTATAAGTTGTAGACCTTGTTTTATTTTTCTTCACATAAAAAGCATAAGAACAAATCTCATCACCCAAGGTGTCAAGGAGGTGAAAATGGCTGTTTTCGAAGGCCTTTGTGCACAACAGAAGAGAATACACTTGGCTCAGCAGCATGATTGCTTTCTTACTTGGAAATGGGCTAATCTCTTTCATGGGTTATCCAGGGGTCAGGCAGCAGGGATTTTTTTCTTTCCCCCTCTTTAGTGGATCAGCTACTATGTGTTTTAATAACAGCCTCCTCTCCTCTGTTAATTATGCCTACGGGCAGTGAGAAAACAACATTTATCTGTTGAAACAGACTAAAGAAGCAAGTGTCCCAACATGTTTATCAGCCACATAGAACCTCAGAGAAAGGTAATTACATATGCAATTAGTTGGAGGAGTGACTGGGAGACTATGGGTTAATTAATTGCTTAAAATGTATTTCTAAAGGCCACGGTTTTGGCCTTGGATGCAGGTCTTTTGAAGGGAATCGGCATGTATGGAAATCTTTCAAGAGGACTGCCCTCAAACTGAAGCAGAGGAAACCCCCCTGTTTAAAAATATTTGTTGTATAGAAATAATTATAGTGTAGGTCTTCCTCCAAAATATATACCACTGATGATTTCTTCATTTTGTCTCCAGTATCATCCTGTCAGCTACAGTACACTTTCTTATCCAATGTTACTTCCATTTGGTTATAGATTTTTTTGTATTTTTAAATACATATATGTTTGGCCCTGCCTGTTTTTAATTAAAAAATCGGACTCATGTAAACGTTCCAAGCAGTGACATCTTGCAGTTTGTTGGTGGTGAGCCCAGCCAGTTTGCTGACAGACAGGCCTGCCTGGAATGGTGAGAAACATGCCCTGTCTTTTTGTGCTGTTGTTTTGTTTTTTCGTCTATTGTCAAATTGTTTTTTTCACATTGCGTAAAAGGCCATCCTGATGCTGGATTCTGAGTATTTCCATCCCCTTGCAGAAAAGCCTCGTGTGTAATATGATTGTGGACAATAGTGAACAATTTATAACAAAGACACGTTTATATGTAATTTTGTGTTACATCTTCACAGACTTTAAGCAGTGATTTCTTAACTGCTTTGATTACACATTTTCAGAACAGTTGGAGTACTGATGAGCAGTTGTTTTAGTATGTGCACAGTGTGCAGCACCTACACTAAACTTCTTAACTCCTTCGACTTTACTCACAGCACACCTGATGTAGTAATTCTGGGTAAATGTCAGCAAACTTCTGGATTCAAAACGGTGATTAAGATTATACACCTCATTCATTGTTGTGTTACTCAGAACTGAGGACAATACCTTTCTCTTAATTTTGGCAGCCAAGACCTGAGTCAATCCTCATGTTCGAAACCCCGGAATGATTTCCAATCATGTAGTTCCAGGATTCACAACACAATTTTTATTATACAATCTATGGCAATTGCAATCACAAATCAATTTTGTTATAGGACATAAACACTGTACAAACTGTACAGTCTAGTGTTCATTTTTATAGTTGATGCCAAATCCATGCGGTGTTTGAAAACTTTCTTCTGCCTGTCTATAATGCAGATGTTATTTCACCTCTCTTTATTCTTCATTTGGCTTTACTATAGGAGGAAATGGTGGATGTATGACAACTAGAACAAAAATAGGAAAGCTGATCTGATCTGAGATCACTCTGTCCTCAAAGCTTTGCGGGTTTGTGATCTTGAACCACAGAAAACCCAGGATGTTCCTGGGAAACAGCTCACTTTAAGGATTATTTGGATTTAAGAACAGGCTTATAAAAGATATCCTTTTTTGTTGGCTACACCTAAATCTTACATTTTTGGAAGGTGTTGGCTTGAACTAAATCATGCATTAAAACAAAATGAGAAGGCAGATCTGTTAAGCTATTATCACCTAATGGCATCTGAAATCCTGTGTTAATACAGTAGTGCTATTTATAAAACAGCCTCCATAACACAAAAGAGTTTGTATGTTCCTTTCCACATGCTGAAACAGACCATTTCTGTTCACTTGGGTTTGTATTGAAAAAGGTGAGGCAGAAACACAAAACTGCAGCATATGTTTTCTGAAGCTGCAAGTGTGTGAATACGTACAGGTCAATACACAGATAAGCGTTTATGGCGAAGCTGTTTGCAGAACATGATATGCACAGTTATTTTTCAGTTTCAAAAACAGTTTTATAGTTTCGTATTCATTTTGTCATCACTGTCTTGTGTGAATTAGAATGATTTGCCACGATTAAAGCACAATGATCAATATTGATAACTAGGAGTCATCTAAATTTTATTTCCATGTTTATTTTAATGATTAACTATCTGTATGATTACTATTATTGAACCTGCTGCCTAGTGCATCTTTGTTGTGGCCTTAGAGTAATGTAGCCTTTTGTGTGTAACATATTGGAAGAGATACAATAGTAAAAGGGATATTTTGTTTGTTTTCAAGATGTTTCATTATTTTTCTCTGTAATAAACCTCATCATTCAGTTCCTTATTGGCTCTTCCTTTCCATTTTGAGGTCTCAGCAGATAAAGCAAGTTGAATGTACTTTTTCAAATATCTTTAAAATACCTTAGCAAATATAAATGTAGCACATATCGGTAAGCTGATGATATATTGTTCCACTTATATTTTGATACCCTTTGAGTTAAAAAATAAAATAGGGTTTCTGATAGGATCTGCACAGCTGTGTTAGTTCATATTTTCAAGGGAGCCTAAGGTTGTTTTCTTTGGTCATTGCTCTTTAGTACAGCTGACTCTGTTGGATCATTTGTTCTGTTCTTTTTTTCTAATTATCAGACACTGCTCATGAAAAAAAAAAACATATCTGTTGCCATTGTGTAAAACCCATGTTTATACGGCAGTGAAAGAGACATCTCCTGTTGTACATGAGCTGATCTCTTTTAAACACTTCTGAGCTGTTTGCTTTCTCTCAGTGTGATGGGGTTATAGTGCTGTCTGATTACCCTTATATTGGAATACAGTTCACACATGGGAAAGGACTCGATGGGAGAGCGGTCTTATAGAAATAGGCTTGAAAGATTGCATCTTTAAGGGTATAGAGGGCTATAGAACCAAACACTATAAACATTAAAAAAATAACAGTGCTTGTGACCTTACTTTGGTTATATATTTGTAATTTAAAACCAATTAATTTTTTCCAGCTTCTTGATCTCTTCATGGTGTGGGACTGGTCCACCTATCTGGCCGACTACGGACAGCCTACGTCCAAGTACCTGAGGGTCAACCCCTCCACAGCTCTTGCACTCCTGGAGAAGTGAGTTTCCAGTTCCTGTTTCCCTGTTATTTAAGGAAAAGATAAGAAGCTTGCTTAGTACCACAGAATTTGTGAGACCTGAAAAGCTTGTAAAATTGTTAGGTGCCCAGCTTCTGATATCTGTATCAGAACATTTTTATTTCAGTGGTCACGTGAAAATATTTTGATTTGTTTTTGTTCTTATAGCTGAAGTGATCGGCAGGTTTCTGCTATTGTTCTACTTTCAGACTTTTGAATCCAGTTGTACTTTAGGCCAATATTTATATGCAAAAAATATTATTGCAGTTCACAGAGAATTACAGAAAAGGTGATGATTTCAGTCAGGCTTTCACTTATAGCTTGAGTCAGATATTGCATGTGTTATTCAAGGAATACATCAATACATCCTGGAAAACATACTTTGAATACTGCAGTCTTGTTTATGTGATAACTGAAATTAAAGAATGAAACATTAACCAGTAGAATTATCTTGATTTTTTCAAATGTTTAACTTTTATGACTTAATTTTTGCACCTTTTCTCTGTTAAATGCATACACAGAGTCTACAGGGGGTATGTATCCTGTTGTATCCTGAATGGGGTCTGTCCATTACTGTTTAGTAACTGACGTTAGATCTATAAGGTGTTATTTGTACACAAACATGGTTTAATTCAAGTTTTTCTGTGGTCACTTCACATTCATTTTATTAAACTCTCTTGCTTTGAGAAGAGCATGGAAAGCTACATTCAGATATACTGTATGTACTCATAAGCTCAAATTAATTTTTTGTTTAAATGTGCCTGACATTTCATTGACAGATAAAGGAAAATCTCTGTTATGTCATTGCTAGAGTAAAAATTAGTTTAGCGATACTGAGATAATGATTCTCATGTAATAGTGTATTCATAAAATGCAATAGTATTTATAGTTTTTCTGTTGTATTAAACGTGTTGCTATAGAATGCTGAGAAATGCATTCACATGTCAGGCTTCTAAATGTTATAGACATACATCATGCTGTAAAATACAATATTTTAACATAGGAACCGGCGTGTTATAAAACAGATACAGATATGTATATGTATTTACACTCTTGGATTAGTCTCAGGTCTGAATTGATCAGGGTAGGCTAAGAATAGAAACAGCTTGATCCTCTGATTGTCTGTTTCTTACAGGATGAAGGACACAAGTAAAAAGAACAACATTTTCTCCCAGTTCCGAAAAAATGACCGTGACAAGCAGAAGCTGATAGAGACTGTGGTGAAGCAGCTGAGGAGCCTGGTGAATGGGATGTCCCAACACTCTTAGGAGTCCTGGTCTTTGTTATACTTACACATTGTCTCAGTGTCCCGCATTTCAGTTAGAGAAATACTTTCCTGTTTATACCAAACTGGATATAGTGTAAATACTATAATAAGAGCACTTACTGGAGCCTGAAATGTTAGTTCAATGTTTTTTAATGTATTTTTAATGGATGAAAAAAGTTTTGTATATTGTGAATGTGCAATGATTGTATCACCACAAAGAGGGTGTTTCAAAACAGACTGGGAATGTATAAATCGCAAAGTCATAGAATGGATAATGAAGTCCTTAAGTGAGACTGATGTTCAGTGAATCATTCTGGAAAGACTTCATACAGGTTTCACGCTGCGTAATATCGAGAGGGTTTTTTACTGTAAATATTCTGGGGATATTAAACACTACAGTCTGACATGCTTCCTGTGGTTCTTATTGAAATATCAAACCGCTTTTAATCAATGAACAATTGCCTACAAATGGCCATGCATGACCTGTATTCAAATGGTTTTAGGGAGGAGGGAAGCAGAAAGTCTACTTTTTATTTAGAATAGCTGCAGTTTACAGATTTTTACAGGCTAAAAAGATGTATCATTTAAGAAGTAAAATCTAAGTTACCATTATTAACAAAAAAAAATGATTTACATCCTAAAACACTACTCAGCTTTTCTGTTAAGTTTTCTCAGGGTGAAAATGTCAGCTTTTGAGTTGAGATGCTTTAGAAGTTCAAGTTAAGACTTTATTTTTAATGAAACAGCAATAATGGGTAAATGTGCAGCCTCATGCAAGTGTAAATGCTTATGTTTAAATTATTGTTTTAAGATCACAGTTTTTACTGTTTCTGCACTACTGTAATGGGTGTTTTGCACTGAAACTTTTTAGTGATGAATGTGTTTGGAAGTTGCATCTGTAAAAATGCAGTACATTTAATTCAATTTTGAAGTAAAATGCAATAGAAAGTACAGTATTATGTGAAAATAAGTTGGAATAGGCAGGGGATTTAAAATATTATCCCTTAACCTTTTAATTTGTAATTGGACTTAGTATTTTATATCCTATTTGTTTGAATTTCTTAAGAACAGTGTGACATCTGCTGCAGTGAAGCCAGTGCACTCCTGTCTCTTCTCTTTACTAATAGCTTTTTACAGGCTGTCACTGCTTGATCTGTACATTTCAGGGTGATGTAAGAAAAACATTTTTAATACAGTTTTAATGTAAGGGATTTCACTTAATATTTTATTTTACAGGCATCATGACTGCCATTTCTTACTAAAGGATTCCTTGTAACATTTCATTACTTTATCACTGAATATGTTTTGAACACAAATTGTTACATCTTGCTCTGGAGAAAATAAATTAAACTACCGATTTTAGTTGTTTCCACTGTTATGACAGCTGAATTATTTATTCTTTCATGTGTATCTAATATACCTCACAGATGCATAAAAGGATGAAACATTTCATAGATTTCTTTTTTAGAATATGCAATTGATATGTACATTTTAAATCAATGTATTTCCTTTTTTTAAGTAGATTGTTTTACATATTCATTATTTTGTGGAATATCTTTAATGTAAAATAATTGTATGTATATAATTTAAATAAATGCATTGCAAAACTGGCAATTTAACCTATGTTTCGCACTGAATAGTTCGCCCTAATCCGTTATCTTAAAAGCTGATATAGGACGTTTTTACTGGTACTGCTAAGGCGAGTACGTACACCATGAAACTAGTTTTGAATTTGCATTCGTAATGAATTTACATCCTGAATAGATTTAGATGTATCTTCCATTGATAAATATCTGTATATCTAGTATGATTTGCCTTTAGCTTCCTATTCATATCAAATGTGCATATTGTACAGTACGCCTTATCAAGTTTCGTTTTTTATGGTAGTAAACACTGGTGATGAATGTAGTCGGTACGTCAGTTTGAAAACCCGTTTGTTTACTGTGTCCTGTCCATCGGTAGCAGTTTTGGGATAAAAAAAAATGTCAAACCTGTCTTAAAGCAGATAAGATCACGGTTGGTCTTCAGATAAGCTGTAATATTCATCACTAATTTACATGCGGGTTTTTTTTACTGATTAATTATTTTTAATGGTTGGATGTTAATAATTTGCCTTATTGACTACTTGTGTTCATAGTACATTTTACAGCAATGTGAACTTTAAGACTTAAAATGGTATACCTGTTAATCGCAGTTTGCCCGCGCTTTACCTTTGAAACATCCCAGCAGTTAAGAGTGCGTTTGATAAGAGATCTTAAGTATTTAAACGTCAAGAGCCATGGCTGCGGGATGTTTGGACCCGAGAGGGATGCTGTCAGTGACAGTAAGCGCCTACTGCACCTGGCGAAGTGGGGTCTCCGCCGAGTAATTCGCCGAGCACAAACACGCGGCTGACACCAAACTGAAGGAAGACCGTGCATTAAAACTGAGGGAGGATGCTACCAGTCTTTAACTTTAAGCGAGTGCACTGATTCGGCGGAATACAAAGTGAGCTTTTCAGACTTAACGAGAATAGGTCTGCTGTTCCTTAGGTAAAACGTTATTCGTGTCAGTTTTTTCTGCCTGTAAACTTCTGGCATTGCGTGATGAGAATACAATCCAGGCTAATTGAGGAAAAGGTTCGAAAATACGCCATTATTTCAATGGTTTTCATGTTCCTTTTCAATGTTTAAAGGCGTAAGGTTTTTTTTATCTGTTTTATTGTGTTTTCTTGAGCTTATCTGTATGATACACACTTATTTATATTCGATTGTGAGGGAGAGGACGGTTTTCCACCTCGTACATTTTAATTCGAAGCGGATGTTCAACTTTAACACAAAGTATTCCAGTTCCTTTGTCTTTGTACTTCCTTCTCTTTTCTGACAAAAAAAATGTGATTTTAACCTATTTGCTTCATTAAGAAAAACAGATAATCAAATCGACGATTTGAGTCAGACTTTTAATGTCATCCGTCACCAACATAAAGCGGGAACAATACGCATATAGCTATGCGGATCAACGCGCAAGGACCGCTGTAACAAACGGCTTCGTTAGCAATATGTAAACCTAACTATAAACAGGTAAAGATTATTTGATGGACAGTGTGATGTGTCCCATGATCATTTAATGCGTCATTCTTTGGTTTAGGATTTAGGTTTCTCCAAAGCGGTGTGACCATTGGTACTTCGTGAAACGAGTAAGTTTTCTTTTCGGGCTAGTTTAAATAAAATCTATAATTTATTACCAAACAAAAGCTTGGTAAGGCATTGTGATCGTCTGTCATGTAGTAGTAAGGTCAGTCTATACATTAGCTATGTGACTTTCTGTGGCTTTACCGTGAAGGGCTTTTCATTTAATAACGCCTGAATTGGGCAATTTCAGGAAGACGAAATTGGCCTTTAAATCCTAAACGTCTTTACTAGCATCTTCATGTGAATTTCAGTATGCGTTGAACACATAAAGGTCTTTAATTTGAATTTATGATTATCTCTTAGGCAAGTTTGTTTTGCGGAAAAGTCCAACACAGCATAAATATAACCGTTATCGACAAAAAGGTCAGGAAAAATAATATTTTAGGAACACGTCAAATAAAAGCTATAATCAAATATTTTTAGCATACTTTATTCAATAACTGAAGTTCTCAGTATTACGAACATGCTGAATTATTAAGCATGTATACAGGCTAGGGGGTAAAGACTGAAATCGCAAGGACAAAAAGTATTTTAATCAAATTTAGATAACCTCAAGACAAACATGGATACATACACGTGTACACGTTTTTTTTATAATATGTAAAGATCCTACTGATTGCAGCCTTGTACTGGGAATATACCTGAATAATATAAAATTGCGCAAGGAAGAACGCTTTTGATGCAGTCTTCTGTCTTAAAAGTAAATAAACTTGTATAGAAACATACATAGGTGTTAACAGCAGATCTTTGCTAAAAACATGTTCTCGGTATTTAAGGGAACATTTATTTGCCAATATTTAAAAACAGTCTAAAACGTTCACAGTGAACAATGTTATAAATCAGCATTATGAAATCCCGTGAATATAAAATACAAAACTAAATGACCAGTGAACGGCGATAGAACAAATGCTCAAATTAGCCCATGTAAACTAATGGTCTCCGGAATTACCCAAATCGGGTCCGAAAACAAAGTTGCCGTAATCGATACATTGAATGAAAAGCAAATCGATAATTATCACGTTAATAACGTGAGTTTTTCTATGGATATGTCCTGGATGAAAGCACATTTGAGCCTATTAATTTAATTTTTATCTTCACACACAGAAAAGCCGTTTACAAATTGTAGCATCAAGACGGAGGACCCGGGGCGCTTTCCAACTTGATATTTAACTAATTAACCTAGCTTTTAATTGCCTAACTTCCAAAATGCCGAAGGAAAGCGGAGCCAACTCTTAAGTGGCAGTATCCTCCTGAGGTTGTCCGATGGTTCCATTGACGGGAGACGTCCACAGTCGGGCATCAAAACAAACTTCAGCAGGTGTCCCCTGTCCCGAAACGGAAAAAGATACATTACACCTGGGCGCGCCAGGGAGATGTGGAACTGAAGCCTTTCTAAAACTCCCCATTCAAGAGTAATTCATTACACTGTGAAAAGTGCGAAAGAGTTATTTTGTTAATGATAATGTTGTAGTTTGAACGTCTGTCTTATTATCTTATTATTAATGATAAAATGTAAAAGATTGGTTGTTTTGATTTGATAGAAGAATCGATTCTTAACTACATTCATTTCGAAAATGGAGTGCGCTATGTTTTTGTGAAGGATGTTTTAAATTACTATATCCAGATATTCATATTATTTTTACCTTCTAAGTATTTTAAAATATCTATATAGTGTATACACACGGGTTCAGATAGTAACTAGACTTTACTCCAATACAGAAACCGCGATCATGGATATGCACTTCAAAATGTCATTTACTGTGTCGTGTGAAAACCTGCTGAGTTTCCCCGTTGCATGTTTTAAAATGACGTTATTTAAGCGTGCTATACAGTCCATTCAAAGTATATTCAAAGAATATACAATAATGTCCATGTTCCTTGCGTGCTTATTGCGAGAAATATAAAGAAAGCTATTTTTTCTGGAACTCAAGACTTTCACTCTTGACTTTGGATAAATATTTGGGCAGTGAATCAGGCTGGGCTGGAGATGAATGACTGAGGTCGGATTAAGCTCTGTGAATGGCAGTGCATTTAAACCGTGGATTTCCTGCGATTGGTTACCTGTTTCCTCAATGAACCGCCACCCGATCCTCAAGCGCTACTGAACTGTTTCAGAAAGTCTCTCCCGCTCCCTCAAACTGCGAGTGTAGCTACATGATCACCAACTTGGCTCCAGTCATCTCGACATATCAGCCTCTTTAAATATGCAAAATCCACGTCATCTGCGAAGGTGGATCATATAGTGTGCCAATATCTATAAAGCTCTGTGCGAACAGAAACATTAAAGATTATTTGGCAAGAGACATTCACTGAAGAGATTTCACTGTCATCGACATGGTCTGCACTTAAAACGGAGTAAGTCTCGTAGCTCTCTTTCGCATTTCTGATTCTGTTTTTAATTGTTTGTTTCAATCTTAACGTGTAAAGGTAAAAAAACGACGTTTAAAGTGATCGGAGGAGTTTTAATCATGAGTCAATGAGCGACATTGCCAGTCGGCACCCGGGTTTTTGTTGTACTGTTTCTTATCCGGTGTTTTGATCAATTGTTATGTAAAATGTAAGATAACATGTCAGCTAAAAGAGCAGCTCTGCGATTTATTAATGCGAGCTAATTAAAATTATGATGTGTCTTGGAATACTGAGCCTCTTGAGTTGCACTAAAGCGCATTAACAGGCGTGCGTGCACATGCATTGTGGCTGAAATCTCTGCAGTGTCAGTATCTCGACCTTCTTAAGAGGACTTTCTGCTGGAAGAATTAATGAATGTCCCGACGCAAAATAACTTGCACGATAGGTTTTTTTCATTTTTTAGGCCGTGACACACGTAGCATATGTGATAAATTCACGGTTTCGAAATGAAAGCACGTTACGGGTGTACAGTAGTTGTGCCTGCCAAATCTGTGCATTGGTGTTATTTTTTCTTTGAAATAAAAATTGTTTTTTTTTTTGTTTGGAACGATCTAATAATGTTGTTTCATTTTCAGACTCTTAAGGCCCGGAAAAGTGGCAGAGAGATTGCCCATAACAGCATCCGCGTGGTTCTTAGTTTTTTTGTTCCACATCAATATTGTCTCAGGCTCCGATATTCCCCGAGTTGTCGAAATGTGTTCGTCAGAGTTTGGGAAGCACAATCGGATTTTGGAGATGTTTTTGCTAGAAAACAATCACTTCACGGTGCTGGCAGCTGTCATCACCTCCGTGCTGTCTGTGCTGCTGTTGCTCGCTGTATCCCGGCAGCTGTGGACCCTTCGATGGACCATCACAAGGGACAGAAAATGCGAACTCCCCCTCCCGAAAGGTTCAATGGGCTGGCCGCTCTTTGGAGAAACCTTCCACTGGCTATTTCAGGTACCGTGACGCGTGTGCGCAATTGTTTACTCTTCAGGAACGGCCCATAATAGCGATGCATTTAGACATGAATAAAGGGTTTACAGTTCAATGCGTTTTTTCCCCCTCATTTTTGAGGACGGGCCTAGAAGGGGTGGTGTTTTTGTTGTTGCGCTGTTCTTTTAAGACTCAGGTGACAATCAGTTTATAGTATGTCCCCGTATGCGAGCGCTTAAAAGCGATTTAGACTCCACTGTGAAAAACCCAAGAACGTTTTTACGACCCAGATGTAAGGATAACAATTATATTTCTTTGACACTCTTTGGTTGATATATTGTAAAGGAATTTCGTCGTGGCAAGTGTGGACTTGAGCGAGATGTAATTAGTGATTTATTACCACAGACGTGCATATTCCCTTTTAGGAAACAATTCTGGTAGCAGACTAGGCAGAATCACTTTTCCACGATGTAGAGGGTAGTAGCCGAACGTCATTAGCTGGGTGCGCTTGAATTTAACACCTCTTTTACCCGCTGTATTTTTATGACAGGGCTCCAGTTTTCACATCTCGAGGAGAGAGAAGTACGGAAATGTCTTTAAAACCCACCTTTTAGGGAAACCTGTTATCCGCGTGACAGGAGCCGAAAACGTCCGTAAAATCTTGCTGGGAGAACACAATTTAGTGAGCACACAATGGCCACAAAGCACCCGGATTATCCTGGGAGCCAACACTCTGGTTAACTCCATTGGGGACCTCCATAAACGGAAGAGAAAAGTAAGGGAACACATATTTTATTTCCCGTGCATGTGCAGCACTTACATTTTAAGTAAAAAAGCACGCCTCTTCTAGTGTATTTGCTGCAGTATGTATAGCTTTCACGTGATCAAACAATTTTTTGTATAGCCTGTACAATACATCTAGAAAGAAGTTAATATTTTTAACTCGACGAGTTCATGCTTTTAATTTTGACCCGAGAAAAGGAAAGAGATTGTTCAGTGGAAAAGCAAGTCCACGCAAATTGATTCTGAGCTAACCCCAAATACTGTTGCTCTCCAATACGAAGAGTATGATGCAACGAAAGAAAATGCATGTTCTGTTTTAAGATTTATGGACAATCAGAACGTTAACATATATCTGCTAACTAAAACACCAAATGCCAATTTTTCTTGTGTTTCTCTCTTCTTCAACCCCAGATTTTGGCTAAAGTGTTCAGCCGAGCAGCTCTGGAGACCTACACTCCGCGTTTGCAAGACGTTGTCAGGTGTGAGATTGCGAAATGGTGCTCAGAGCGTGGCTCTGTCAATGTCTATGCTGCTGCTAAAGCTCTCACCTTTCGCATCGCTATCCGAGTCCTTTTAGGGCTTAACATAGAAGAAAGTCACCTGAACTACCTCTCTAAAATCTTCGAACAACTTATGGACAACCTCTTCTCACTCCCGTTTGATGTGCCGTTCAGCGGTCTCCGTAAAGTGAGTGCAAATCTTGATTTCACTTTGTGAATAAAAATTGTTATCATTATTAACTTGTCCGGGTGTGTACTATAGACAAAGGCCCGATCTTAACTGGAGTTGAGGACCTTTGCCTTAAGAATGTCTTTTTTGGTCAGAATACGATTTAAACAACTTGTTCCCTTTTATGTACCAAAAAAGTGGTGATCTTTCCGTCCGCCCGTACGTCTTCATCCTCAACAAAACGATTAAGTCCACTGGAGGGGCTTTAGACCTCGTGCCCGAAAGACAAAGGTCTTTGTATTAACCGCTAAGTGATGTTCTGGAAGAGATGGATATTAGTTAAAACACGGAGATTGTATGGAAATATTTTGGTGTTTGTTTCCTGGGAAAATATAACCTGGATAATGCCACACAATAACATTGAAACGTTTAACAGGAAATTGAGATGTGTCTATGTTGAGCACTTTACGGGAAACATGTTTTCTGGAACTATAGAGGATGTTTCCTTGCCTGTTTATTTTTTTCCTGGAATATAGTGCATTCAGTCCCTCTGTGTTATTAAACTAAATAACTCACTAGGTTTTTCACGTAGGTATTCCAGTGTACGTTTCTTTATTCTTTCGTGGGACTATGTGAAAATAAAGTAGTCTTTAAATCCCCACAGGACAGCCACTTGAAAATACATTTTTTTTCCTAGATCTGTTTCTTTCTTTCTTAGGAAATACATTAAAATAACTAGCAAATAAGTCTATCCATACTTGACACAAACGGTAACACGTTTCGCATTGGCTGTATGTTTTTGAAACTGCCAAAGTGTTCCTTCCAAAAAATAGTGAAACAAAAATAAGATAATGATAACTATCATCAGTTTGTTTTTTCGCAAAATCCCCAAATGATTCATATTTGATTTAACTTATTTTTTAATTATTAATGTTTTATTTGACAGTTTTGGTATTGCCTTCTACTATGAACAAAAATATAAGGTGAATACAATTTCAGGTCAATCGAAAACAGTATACGGCTTTATATTTCTAAAGACCTATAACACGCAGCGTGCTTACTGTTATGTAACAAATTCCCGTAAAATAATGTACCTGAATTGTTCCCCGAACATTTCCCAGTAACACGCCGGAAATGCTTACGAATTTTGTTAACTTAATATTTTAATAGTTGAATCGAACGCATAGAAGTCAAGAGCATGAAGAAACAGAATGTAATGTAAATAACTATTATTTTTTCTCTAAACCTCAGGGTATGAAAGCCCGAGACACACTCCACGAGTGCATGGAGAAGATTATTAAAGAGAAATTACAGAGGCCTCAGTCCGAGGGTTACAGCGATATCTTTGATTACATGCTGAGCAGTGCCAAAGAGAACGGGCACGAGTTGAGCATACAGGAGCTGAAGGTAATTGAGTCTCTGCCGCCGGAACGCGGTCGTTCTCCAAGTCCGTCTGCAACAAGACGGCAGTTACCCGGTAATGCACTCAGGTTAATGATTGCATTTGGAAGTCGCCCTTATTTATATTTAACTTCTATTATTATGTATAATTAGACCAATTTTCACAGAAGGTGGTTTAGTCTGAGACATGGTATCATTAGAACATCTTTGGGCTTGCACTTTTATGGAAGTTAGAGAAAAACCACTGAACCTGTCACACCTTTGAATTCCAGGAATCTGCGGTGGAGCTCATATTCGCTGCCCACTCCACCACTGCCAGCTCCAGCACCTCTCTCATCCTCCAGCTAATGAGACATCCCGCAGTCGCCGACAGAATCAGAGATGAGCTGGAGACACAGGGACTCAACTGGAACTCCAACCGGATGCAACTCTCGACCAGCCAGTCGGGGAAGTCGGGGCAGGCGATTCTGTCTGAAGGTGTGTCAGAAGGAAACGAGCAGGACAGAGACTGCCGTTCCAGGGCAGCAACTATTGAGCAGAAGCCTCCGGGTGACCCAGTCTGTCGCTGTGATTTTCTGGCGGGCGCTGCAGGAGAAGAGCCATTTTCTTTCTGCCACCTGCATCATTTGAACCTGGAGAGACTGGGCCGACTGCACTACCTGGACTGCGTGGTGAAGGAAGTCCTCAGATTTCTCCCTCCTGTCTCTGGAGGTTACAGGACAGCTCTGCAAACCTTTGAACTAGACGTAAGTTTCGAGAAACAGACCCTGCTGCGTCCTTTCGAGCAACACATATCAGCAATGTGCACGTAACACTTTTCATGTGACAGGAGAAGGGTGTGGGCCTGTAGAATCTCAGCCGAAAACTGCTCATGCATGCTAAATGAGGACACACAGTGAAAATGAAATGCTACGATAGGACACATAACCCCCCCCATAATTCGCTGTAAAATTTATGGTCATCTGTATGGTCCTGTGGTGTTCCCTCGTCTCAGTTTAGACTGGTTGACTATTTAATCTTCGACAACCAGTAGAATTAGTGACAATGAAATCATACGGAATTGAAAAACGGAGTGAGTGTTTAACTCTCTGCTCCAGCGTCCTGCACTAGCAACCAGGCCAGAGCGACTTTCCAGAACTTATTATTGAAGAGCGGTGGCGTGCATCCTCTGTGCCTTATTCAAGAAATGGGGCCACACGCACACAGCTCTTTTTGTTAGTGCAACATTAGATAAACCACAGGTCAAGCACAGGTCAGGTGGGAAACGAATGCAAAGAAATCCGAAGAAACTAGGTGAGACACCCTGGCCACTTACACATACTGTAGCAGACTGTGCATGAATAGAAAACCATCCACCTATTTTTTTCTAATTATATGTTGGATCATTGGATACACAAGTAAAAGTACTAATACTTTCAAAATCAAGTCCATATTTACTAATGAACCATGTTTTTTACATATGTGTATTTTATTATAAAGTCTCCTTTCACGAAGACAGACGTATCATTCAAAGTGTAAAAAGCAAATGCTCTTTGGAGCCCTGACAGTTCAGTGTAGTGCAGAGGTAGGCTACTGCTGCAGTGTGTTTCTAATGCCCCCTGTTACCTTCATTGTCACGTTTGTTATGCAGCTATAAACTGAAACATTGAGATCATGTTGTTGCTGTGGGTTTTGAAGAAAACTGGGAACTGGGGGTGGGTTGGATGGTGGTGGTGGGGGTACCATATTTAACAAGATGTCTGAGGTCGCCCCCTATTGACTAAGTAAAGGAAATGAATTGTAAATCCAGTAGAATCAGCCAAAAGATCAACCCTGCAGAAAGCTTTATGTCCGGGGGGATCCAATCCTGTATGCCAGGTCCAGTGTGTCTGCAGGTATTTATTACTGGCTTACCTGAACCAAATATAACAGCTTCTCCCACCTGCTTTAAAAGACCTTGAACACCTGAAGACACACTGGCCCTCCAGGACCAGGACTGGGTACCCCTGCGTTACGCAATGACTGCCTTTAAACCCGTCTGACCCTCTTGTTCTTTAAACCAGGCCATAGTATTTGCATTATTCATTCATTTTACCTCATGATTACATTGATTCAGTTCTCACCTTTGTTTAATCGCAAGCCGTAGGTGGTCCAATTGCAAAAAATGCTGCCCAATGGCCTCGGTTTAGGCTTAACACTTACGTATGTTTTTGTCTCGTTTTAAGGGATATCAGATTCCAAAAGGATGGAGTGTTATGTACAGCATCCGAGATACTCACGAAACAGCCGCGGTGTACCAGAACCCCGAGATCTTTGACCCGGATCGCTTCGGATCTGAGAGGGATGAGGGCAAGGCCGGACGCTTCAATTACATTCCGTTTGGTGGAGGAATCAGGAGCTGCATCGGAAGGGAGCTGGCACAAGTCATATTAAAGACTCTGGCTATTGAGCTGTTGAATACTGCCGAGTGGGAACTGGCCACACCTGCCTTCCCAAAGATGCAAACAGTACCAATTGTGCACCCTGTCAATGGACTCCATGTTTATTTCCATTTCTTAAATTCTGACACAAAGCAAGAGTCTCCAAAATCATAGTCCCGTTTTTCTAACTATAACTGTACATAGCCTGTTAGATATTAAGTATCCCTCTAGTCTTACATGGGTTACTTCTATTTTTAAGTTATTTTATGTTGTGTTTCTACACAAGGTCACTTACATTGAGACACACCACGTCAAAAAGAAGACGTAACTCCTTGTCTCGGTATAAGGAAACAATTGGTTGTAATAAGCCCTTTTGTCATATTTCTAAACATACAGAAAACCTTTAACATTAGACAGTGAAGTAGATCACTGGAACTGTCTTCCAGTAAAGAGACACAGACACAAGTAATGTAGCCTAGAATGTTCATTTAAGTAGCTGATAGCTGGTAACAAGAGGGTCCAGTAGTTGTTAAAGGATCCGAAAAACATTTTGCTAAGCAGCCTTTTCCTCAACATGTGTGATCACTAACCATCCCCAAAGCTTCCGAGTGGTGCCTTAGTCATCGCAGGCAAGGCTGCAGGGCAAGAGATCCCTGGTCCTACCCACCTCAATCTCTTCTAACCCTCTGAAAAATGACTCATCGTGGCATTTGTTTCTTCACAGTTGTTTATCATTTTCCTGTGATATTGCCTTAGATCCAGAGTTTAATTTAGTATGCTTTTATCAAGCAAGGGCATTAGCATTCAGGTATCCAATAAAAGCATCTAACTTTATCACAATTATCACTCTTTACTTTCTTAACCATAGAACTTGTAGGAATTGACATAACCTACTGACTTTAATAATTTATGTGTGTATATATGATAAAGATTATAAATATAGCATACTATAACTTTGTTGTTTATGTGTTAAAATGAAGTAGTATAATGCCATATAAGCTTTATTTATAGAACATGTGTCAACTAAATATGAATTTAATGTGGGGAAAGTAGTATATTTTTCTCTTTATGTAAGTAGCCCTTTACTGTACCAATAAAATACATTAAAAACCGTGAACTAACAGACACCTGCACACAGTTGCTGTGTGATATTCTCCAATCTTTTACAGTAGGTCTGTTTTCTCATTAAATCAGTGAGGGACGTAGCTATGAAATGTTAGGCAGCACTATAATGTTGACAGACCTACCTGATAAAATTGATGTGTACACTCAGGCAGGATAGGGTGAAAGGAAGGAGAAACGCAAGCGTTATAGCACTTTTTACACTTTCTCCTTATGGAGCTCATTGTGATGTTGGCTTGTCAATGCAACCTAATATATAGTCCTTGGGATGATGTCAGCGTGCTTGTTAATCTTATCTTATTGATGTTCACATTAGAAGTCATTCAGTGTTTCTATGTGTTTGTCCAGTGTTCTTTATATGTGAAAATGATGATCTTAACAGTGGTATTTTTGTGATGTATTTGTGTTTTAAATAAAAACATGAACTGTTTTTTTTTAAATATATATTGGGTGTTTATATCTACATATGACATTAGTACACACTTACTAGTAAGTATACCTGTGCAGTTGTTCTCAGTGGGGCAGTAAAAAAAAGACAGAAAATATTGAAAGATGTGAAATTGCTCAATTCACCTATTCTTCTTTGTAGTAATAGTAATAGAAGTACATTTATTTGGTTGAAATCTTGTAGTTGTAATATCAAAAACAGTGTTAATAAATACCACTAATTATGCCACTGTAATTATCTGTATCTGTTGCTTAATAAAATTATTTCTGGGGTATGATCTATAATCTAATTACAATTCACGTTCTTTCATACAATTCATTTACACTGCCTAGAGCACTGATTTACTTATTTAGCTGTGATCTGATCATATGAACTCCCATATGTTCAAATAAAGTTTCAGTTTTTTTTAACCAAACATGAGACATTTGATTGTGTTTGTTTTAAATAAAATGATTTGATGATAACCATTAAAGATGTAAAATGCATTTCAACTATATTCCTAATACCCTCAAACCTTGTTTTGACAACAACACAATCTGACATTCAAATGGATCAGTATAACCATGTTAAAATCAACAATAGAACAGAAGACAACAACAATACATTTTTGTGTTAGAAAAGCACATTAAATGTCCATTTAATTTTGTCATTTTCTATAAACGCCAAATGTTATTCCAACAGTATTGATGCAATTAATTATTACTGTTATTTGGTGCTAATTAATTGTTTTTGTTTTCCTTTTTATCGTTGCTGCTGGGGAACATACACTTACAAAGCATCTTTATTTATGAAGGGAAAGACATTCTTATCACTGGATTTTAAAAAAAATGTTTTAAAAAATGCTGAGAAATGGAGCTATGTGAACGCGAGCTCATTTAAATTCTTATGAATAAACGTAAACATTTACAAATACGTGAGTGAAAAAATGCCATGGACCTAATACATATAGATGACGCTTTTTAACAATAATTTAAATTAAACCCTTCAAAAGGTTACACCTTAACAGATAGCTGAGTTCTCTTGGCAGGGTGACCCTTTTTTGAACCACAAAATGATGCCCTCCTGACCTTGTCTTTAAGGTGAATGCGCATTGTTAACATTGGGTAAACCAGTAGGCGGTGGGTACAAATTTCAAAGACTAACTTTGAGCAGCACAACACCAAAGGCGCCTTAAACGAGTCAGATGACTGCACAAACAGCAGATGAGCTGGCAGTAAAATAAAATCGATGTTATGAACCCAAATGGTTATGGAAAAATAAGAGAGACTCATCTCTCTGGGGGATCTGAATGGTTTTGCCGAGGTATCGGAAAGTTTCTCTGGGATTTTAGAAAAATTAATCGGTTTATATTTAGAAAAATAAAATGTAACGTCAGTTTGGGTTTGCCAGTTTAAAGTGTGATCGGCATTGTGAAAGAGGCCGTTACCATAGCACATGGGGTCAATTAAAAGTTTCTTTACAGACAAGTGAAAAGGCTGTTTATCTCTTGACCCAATTACAAGATTACTGTAAGTGGTTTTAATTATCCCCTTTATTTGATTGTTGTGATTGACAGTAGCAGAATGGATCGCTGTGGAGATAATAAAGCTTTCCTGCCGTAATTATTGGTGCTCAGGCTCCCGTATCTCGTTATTTGATGGACAGTGAACTTGGCGAGGTTTGCGCCAGAGTTCACAGAGATGTCACGGTCCGTGTTGTAGGTCACAAGCAGGTCAGCGCTCGGGAATGGGAAAAGGACCTGGAGGCATCGCGGAGTTTTCCAGCGCTAATCCCTGACGACGCTGGGGGACACAGAGCTCATCACACTCGGAAGAGCTCACACGGGGGATTTAAAACCTTAAGGACTGACAAGCGTTTACACGCCTAACCTTTAGGGTAAGTGGGTCGCGGGAGCAAATATCTTTTGACCTGTAACACAGATTCAACTTTATTACTTAAATCGAAAAGAAGTGGACGATATGCAGTTACAGGCATATTCACACCCCTCGGCTGAATCATTGACATTAACTAATCTGTTTAGATCGTTTAATTGCGTTGTTCAAATAAACTTTATAATCAAACGAACGTTATATTTGCGAAGTTTACCAGCCACTGCTGATTCATTCTAGTGACTAACTGACTCCTGGCAATTTATCCATGTAGTTCCAGACATAAAATGCCACCCTCTGTCCAAACTCAACTAATCCAGCAGGAGCAGCACCTACAGGTACTGTTTGCTACGATTAATCCGCCTCCAATAAACTTGGGACATCCTATCGTTGATAAGTAGGTATAGTTTCATAATAAACAACAGGAATGAATCAACGACGCCCCGTTTCCATCAATTCCAGTACGTTTACACAAGACTATATATTTTGTTTCTTTACGTCCAGTTTTTGTTTAATCGCATTCCCTACAGCTTGTTTTATTGGAGTGAGTAATATTTCTCGACCTGTAATTTCTTTATATTCTAGAATCGCGTCCCAATATTAAAGGGGTATTTAAACATGTTTTGACAGTTGGTGACAGCTCGTGTAATGAACAAGGAGCAAAATACAGCCTAAGCATGCGGTTTTATTTACTTGGCACTTAGGAAAAATAGTAAGGCTACAACGTAAGTAGTAGTTTTAAAAATAGGATGGACGGTGTTGCTTGCCAAACACATCTGTATTCATCTTTACAGTAAGGAAGCAGGTTGCAGACACCCTGGTTAATAACACATAAATGACAGATACAGCAAATATGTGGTTAATAATTCTGAGCACTCCCTGCGAGCTGCGGGTGAACTATACTTGAACTTCGCTCAGGTAGTATGTGTGTGCAGAAGGGTGGAACAGGATATGATGGCATTTTAAGCATTTTAAACACTTGGCTGCTGCTGCCAGGTCAAAAACATTCCTTACTCATTGAAGAGCAAATCTATTTGTTCCCCATTCCAAAACTGCACCCCTAAGAACGTAGTAAGAAAGACCGAGCAACAGATCGATCTCCCTTAAAGAAATACGAACACAAATCTATACCTATTGTTCTATTGCGAACACAAATGGCGATGTTGGCGATGGTAAAAACAAAAAGCGAATCATAGATGCAAAAAATGGAAAATACTTTATTATTATGAATGGAAGAGGGGGGGGTGTATACACCAGTTAAGGTAGCTCGGCCAAATAGGAGAATAAGGTAAATTACAGGGCAAACGGTCACGTGGCACAATACAGGGAGGCAATCTGACTTTATAATAAAAGAGAAACCTCATTAATACGCTCCCGTTATGCGCACAAAAACATCCTGCAAGCGGTCAGGCGGCGGTCGTGCGGGATTTTGGCATTGCAGCTGTTGTAAAAGCAACTATAAATGCTGTGGGTGGCAACAGCGCCGCTGTTTACTTTTTGATTTAACCTTGCTTTGCTCCCTTAGTTTTCAAACTGACCCGAGTTTGAACCGACGGCGAGCACTATATCATATTTTTTAGGAATCCACTTCAGTCTGACGTTGATGTAGTTTCGTGGAGGCCCTGGAAGACACTGTAAACAGGGTTAACGCCAGGCCAGACTCTAATTTTAGATTAGCCTGCATCTTTGCCACGACCGCTGTTTATAAAGTGTGGACAAGAGCTCCTCTCCATATTGTCTCCACGACGTAACGATAAACACAATGATAGTGAGTTTTACATCTGTTCCCTTGCTCCTTGGTTTCATAATTTCATGTTTGAGGCATCTATGTTTTTGTATATGGGTAGAATTTTCACCTTTCTTAAATGGGTGCTTATACTGTATATACATACAATCCATAGTTAGATCATAACATCTCTAATACACAGAGATTATAAAGTAACTATTGCAACTAACAATTTGTATTGATATTGAAGTTACTTTTACACCCGGGGAAATGACAATACATTCTGCGCACGAATTATCCTCATCACTGACGCTAACCACACTCCAAATAATTTAGAAAAATCATTGTAATGTAATGAGTCAGTGATATTGTAACTCTAAGGACAGCAATTAAAGACTAATTGTTAAATTGAGTTAAACTACTAAGGATAAAGGTAATCGGGTAATCGACACTTAATTAGAACAGGAAATGGGAGTATATTTTGAAATTATAGTTTGGGTAAGAAAAAGAAACTTTGTATCTGAATGCAGAAGTACCAGAGTCAGTAAAGAATAATTGCAATCTTGCTCAATTAAGCCCGCCCCAGGCATTACAGCTAAGAGCCCAAGCAAAGTAAGGAGTTTAAACTGCAGAATATTTGCCACAAAGAGCCCTCCGTGCTTCCCATTGTGTTGGGGAATTAACACCTTTTCAAAGTTAAATCCAAGGATTGTCTAGCTGCTCCAGGAGGTGGTATTAAAATGGGCTTATAACAAATGGTTAAGGATTTTAGGACAGCGTTTCTCCAATGGGCGGAGCAAAGAGGAATGGCACTACAATTAAAGATGAACTTTGTGTGAACTAATTTATCTGACCAAGGTAACAGGAGGCCGAGACCTGGAAACGAGTATAAAAGGGGGTATAAGCATTGAGACTCACCAGTCGAGAGAAACGCCTTAGAGAATCTTTGACCTAAAAGAGAACTGTCGGACTCCATCACATTGTAGTCCCAGGACGCAACGTCAATATGGTTTTGTATACATTATTCGCAACGGTTCTCTGCACTCTTGTGCTCCCCGTGTTGCTGTTTTTAGCCGCCGTAAAGCTCTGGGAAATTTACATTGTAAGCGGACGGGATCCCAGTTGTCGGAGCCCCCTTCCTCCAGGTACCATGGGTTTGCCGTTCCTTGGCGAGACTCTCCACATGGTCCTTCAGGTAAAGCATCTGGGTCCGGAATCGCAACACAACTGCAAAGGGCTGATATCGAGTCACGGCATGCATCCTAATTCTGTATATAGCAGGGTGTACGCGAGCGCCACCCTCTTTAAAATACGAGCTACAAGTCGGCAATTAAGATACATTATCTAGATGAAATGTATTTTAGGACGTCGATTTGTTTGCTACAATATGACCCGTTGTTGTGTTTTTCTTCGCTGTCATTTTTGAACTCTTAACTTTTTTAGGTGCACCCGGAGATTGTCATCTTTTTCCTGCTATGGAAAATGCCGATGTCGGATTGCGTCAAACTCTTGACTGCAGCTAAAGCCCAGTTCCTTATCTTTGCAGAGAAGGAAATTCCTGCAGATGAAACGCCAGAAGTATGGATTTATCTACAAGACCCATCTCTTCGGCAGCCCTACGGTGCGGGTAATGGGCGCTGAAAACGTGAGGCAGATTTTGCTGGGTGAACATAAACTTGTCGCCGTTCAGTGGCCAGCGTCAGTGAGAACCATCCTTGGTTCAGACACCCTCTCCAATCTACACGGCGCGCAGCACAAGAGCAAGAAAAAGGTGAGTTACAAATGGAGTGTCTCGCCCCCCCCTCAGCAGATTGTAAATGTAAAAACGTTGTGCGTTTTTGTAATGTAATGTCCGGAGCCTTTTGCCCTTCTCAAAACGTTAAAGTGTAAATGCGGATACGCTCTGGTATTCTGAAATCCCTCCTGCATTGTACACATTTCAACAAGTCTGCTCCTCGAGCCGAATTTTTCTCATTCAGGGTTTCTTCTCGCATTTTGTAGGCGGTCATGAAAGCTTTTTCCAGGGACGCCCTGGAGCATTACATCCCAGTAATTGAAGAAGAGGTGAGGTGCGCTGTGACGACCTGGCTCCAAAGCGACTCCTGCGTGCTGGTCTACCCCGAAATGAAGCGGCTCATGTTCCGCATCGCGATGAGGCTCCTGCTTGGCTTTGAGCCTGAACAAACGAAGTCCGACGAACAGGAGCTGGTGGAAGCATTCGAGGAGATGATAAAGAATCTATTCTCCCTCCCGATCGATGTGCCCTTCAGCGGCTTGTACCGGGTAAATGCCAGATGATGCTCTTGCCACGCTGATCTCGAGTGGTACCTTTGTAAATACAGACGATAAGGGCGCAGGCAGCATCCGGCGTCCAAGATGCCATTCTAAAATACTGAAATGTTTATTTCTTTAACAGGGTCTAAAGGCTCGCAATTTTATCCATTCCAAAATTGAAGAAAATATAAAGAACAAGATCTCAAAGCCTGCCGACGAGAGGCACCACAAAGACGCCTTGCAGCTGTTGATAGAAAACTGCAGGAAAAACGGAGAGCCGCTCAATATGCAGGTAGATTTTCTTTCTCGTTGTTTCATTACCGTTCTCAGCATGGGAAAATAAAAAGTTAAGTAAAATTACAACTAGCGTTCTGCTGAATTAAATGTTGTGAAACGCGCTTTCTTTAACAGGAGATTAAAGAATCCGCAACCGAATTGTTATTTGGAGGTCATGAGACCACCGCCAGTACAGCAACATCGCTAGTGACGTTCCTCGGTTTGCATCAGGATGTAGTGCAGCGCATGAGACAGGAGCTCTACGCGAAGGTGAAGCACAGTCGCGTTTTCCATCTCTCTCTATCCTCTTGGAGTCAAACCTGACTTCCCTTTAATTCACGGGTAAATTGTAAAACACTCCTTTCTCCTGTTTTCAGGGATTGCTGGGAGCCAATTCTCAAGACAAATCGCTGAACATCGAGACTCTGGAACAACTGAAATACATCGGATGCGTCATCAAAGAAACACTGCGGATAAACCCCTCGGTGCCTGGTGGTTTTCGCGTGGCTCTCAAAACATTTGAGCTGAATGTAAGGCAAAGTCTAGTGTGTATAACTGTTCATCAATATATCCCAAGTTTACAACCAATCCTTTAATAGCTAGCGAACGTGAAGGAATATCGTGTTTACAGCAGTACTTTCCAGATTTAAATAAGAAAGTAGTCACTTTAACCGCGTCGTTCTCTTCAAATGTAAGGCGTTACGATTTAGTTGCTATTTGCTAGGTTACACTTTGTTCCCTTCATTCTTTTATTATTTCAATCTTAGATGGCACAATAACCCGCTTAGAAAAAGTAAATATTATGTAAACACGTGGAAGAAGAACCACAGCGATTGTGCCCATAGTTCTGCCCTGCTTAGCGTAGCACTGCGGTTTGCACATGATTTATAATGATTTTAATAGGAAAACGGTATTGCTTGTATTCTGAGCTTTGGAAACTACTGCTTGTGAATTCCTCATGAGGAATTCCACCACATATGTTTGTCGTCAACGCAAATAACAGCATTATGGCCCATTAAACATTCACCAATACTGTAATCCCCAGACTAATTGCCTGGATATATTGCAGACATGAAAGAAAAGTAAGCTCCATGGGTCTCTTACAGTCATGGACTTCATTATGCAAAGAACTACTTCCCATTTCATACTTGTGCATGTCAGTGTGCATGAATCCTTTTACGCACCAAATTAAAATAAAATATTTTCTCCTGTGTGAAAAGAGCAAATTGCTGCAGCAGGAAGCCCGAGACCCATTGCTCTAAAACCATGTCACAAAACCATGACCTGGACCAACACCACCCATTCACACCTGGAGATTTCTGATGACATTTTCTTTGATTTTTCAGGGCTACCAGATCCCGAAGGGGTGGAATGTCATTTACAGCATATGTGACACACATGATGTCGCGGAGGTGTTCCCTAATAAAGAGGAGTTTCACCCTGAGCGCTTTATGTCTAGAGCTCCTGAGGACACACCTGGGTACAACTACATACCTTTCGGCGGAGGCTCTAGGAGGTGTGTGGGCAAGGAGTTTGCAAAAATACTCCTCAAGATCTTTTTAATAGAGCTGACCACGAAATGCAACTGGACACTTCTGAATGGCCCCCCTACCATGAAAACAGGCCCAACTGTGTATCCAGTGGACAATCTACCCACAAAGTTCAGCAAATTTGTTGACAACTACAACTAATTCACACACAAGGAAGAGAAAGAACCTATAGCATTTAATTTGTAAATAGCCTGTTTCATTATTAATTTTAGGAGAAATGTTTTACATTTTATATTTGACTTGTATATTTTTTAATACAATAGATATTTATACGAGACCCTTAATATTTTTGTAAAGAAAAAACACTTTGCAAGCACTATATGTGGATCCTAGTGATTCATTAAAGCTGATAACTTTTATTTAAAGTGAGTTAAACAAATATGTACATATCGTTATTTTAGTCATTTCTAAAGCAGTTTATTTAAACTAAATAAGTTACTGTATGGGATCTATTTAAATAATTATTTTTGGACAGACGTTGAGAAATATTACTGGAAACCTTTATAGGTTATATGTGAGACTTTTGGGGCAAAATGTCACTCATTGGAAAAACAGAAATGTGGTACTACTTTTAAATAAAAGTGCAGATTTCTATATTTCAGATGTTTCTGTGTTTATTTCTTAAAAAAATTAAAAAAATATATTGTGGTTGCAGATATTTTGTCATGGTCCTAGTGACAAATATTATAAATGCAATCCTCCATAAAGGGGACACACAGCTGATGAATTCTAATGCAAATATCCTCTTTCTTTTCCAATCATAAAGCATTTAGTTTTACAAACTGATATGGTTAATCTTCCTGTAAAACACACAGATGCTTACCCTTACAGTGTTTTTTGCAAGACTGGCCTGTGTGGGCAGGGGCTGGCCTGCAGGGTGATGGAATGGAATGCAGTAGGTTCTGGAGTAATGGAAAATGGGCACATGCTGATTTCATAGTTTCATAAAAGCTCCCATATGAGCAATATAATAGGAATCTTATACAATTTCTGTGCTTGGGGTAATGAAACTAAGCAATGAACTCATGAAATGTGCTCTTGTTTCTAAAGATAACCTTTAAAAACAACCTTAATGTGGTTTAACATGATGAAGTGCTGTGTTTTAAGGAACCCTTGATCAATGTCCATGTCCAGTGTTTCCATAGTCCAATGCAAAGCCAGCACAACTGCTCTGGAAGGAATGATGTTCCAGAGTAACACACCTGTGTCATGCATCACCAATGTCTCATGACCTTCTGAGCCCACACTAACCTGGAAGTAACCGTATCTGTGCTGTGCTATCAAAACTGTAGGCAGTTTTCTTTTTCCAACAAAAGATTGATGATTTGTGCAAACAAAAAATGAAACCCTTGCCAATATACAAAATACAGCCTAATTAAAAAGCCTTACATGCATTGAAATATGCTTAACAAAATCTTGGGAAATGTGAAAAGGAGGCCTATTCTAAGACAACTGCAAGTTTCTCTTCAGTACTAGCTCAGCATTACTTTTCCCTTTAGATTAAATTAATTAGCGTCACTCTCTGTGTCCAGGTAAGATCTGTATAGTTTCTGACAATGAAATGGAAAGTACTTCCAACATAACAATATTCAGATTGGCATAGATCTAAAATACCATATTGCTACTAAGATGTTATATATTCTAGACATGTCTAATTAGACTTTTTACATGGCAAAATTCAAGACAGACTGAAGCCAATAACAACTTTTATTATAATGCCTGAAAGGTAATACCGATGAGACTAAGCAGCACAATTTGAAGAGAGTGGCTTAGGTTGGTGAAAATCTACCCAGCAAAACAAGCTTATTACATCACATTCTAGGTTAAAATCCTGGAAACAACAGAAAATAATTTAATGACTAAACGTTCACATCCAGAAACTCAGTTTATTTTCAAACATTTAGGGAAAAACAAAAATTCAGTGACAGTTGTGGACCTGTGATATAATGAAGTTTATTTTTATACAGGAATAGTGTATGTCAGCTACTTACATTGTATATCAATGGTAAAAATGCATTACATTAGGGAGTAAAATGCAAAGCTCCTATTAATTCACATGGTCCTCTTTTTTTACATTTTCTTTATATTCTTTAGTCTAATGGTTTATGCAAATATACACTATTAAACAAAGGCGGAAATACTGAATATTGGGCTACACGTTATGAAAATTGTTTGGTGAATTCGACATGACGAAGAGGAAAGCTCATTTAAAAGAATCTCCCTGCATTCGGAGTCTTTTGGAGGTCTGTATCCTCAGCACAAAGGGTCATGGAAGAAGAACATCCTTGCATGACAGTGAGAAAACAGACTTTGCAGTGCTGGCAAACACATTGCTGTGCCTGTGCCGGGCTAGCTGCACAGTGCCTGATTTATACTTCCAGAGTTCCTCTGCTGACACCTTAATGTCCCTCCCTCCTATCGCCGCAGGTCCAGCTTCGGTGATAGATGCAGCTGAACTTTTCCTCCTATCACCTTGTAAAGAACATTTGCGTCCCCGATTGTTTAACATCTCAGGGGAAAACAAAACTTTTTTTTTTGTCCTTCAATTACCAGCCATTTTGGTCGAAATTCACAAGGATGAAACAGAATTTATTGGAGCGGTGTGAAAGAAGTTTTAAACCCACTTCTCTTTTATTCAGACCACTGAACTGAACATTGCGCAGAGTAAATCAATGTAATTGCTGCAGGACCTGCATTGTTACAAGAGATGCTTTACGCACTGTGCTGTTGGTTATTTAGCATGTTTAATTTAAAATCCCAAGAAAAGAGCTACAGTTAACTTTCACATTTTGGGTTCTGCGTGTACAGATAACAGCTGTAGCACCTGTAGAGTAATGGAAAATAATTCAACAAAGCACAAAATTAATGAATCAAAGACAAATTAATTCAAGCACTCAAAGGGCCATTTGCAGAAAACTGGGGGGAATTATTTCACCATTTCTCCCTTTATTAACAAGAAATATTAAAAAATAAGTCTATCTTTAAAATGTGCCCTTGGGTGATGTTTTGAATACCTTTAAGTCAAATGTCATCAGGATGATTTTCATATCAGGAAGCTTTTCAAACTTAATACAGAGATAGGTTTAATAGGTAAGAGTTAGATGCTTTTTAATTGTCATTAATAAAAAAAACATTTTACTTAAGTCTTACCCTTACCAAAGACTTAGTATATGTTTAGTGCATCAGACTGATCTACAGTTTCTGACAAAGGATGTATTATTAGAAAAAGGAGAGGAATTTTGCTTTGATTGGAAGTTTTAACCACATCTCCCTTCGAAAATAACAGACAAATAATGGGAAGTAAGGCATCAGTTCATTATTACCTTATATATAATCAGTTTTATATATATATGGGATTTCCATTGGTTAATTGCAGGGAACAAGTATATACCGATCATTATTAATTTGTGTTTGTTGTTGGCCAGCTCTTTAAAATTGTATGAGCGCTCACATGAGTCCTTCAGTGCAGGACAGGTAGATTCTCTTGGTGATCCAGCAATCATTTAAAAAAAAAAAACGAAATTATTTCTGGGAGGAGCCTCTAATGAAAATACATTGCGCCTACTGTAGAAATTCAGAAAAAAACAGTTTCTGATACTTTTTTTTTGTGGACTTGGCAGTACTTTAGGTACGAGGCAGTGTATCAGTTAAAGGCAGTAAGATGTATGCTGACGTGGAATGTATTGCTCTTGTTGAGTGGGACAGCTCTTCTGACACAACTGTAATCCAGGTATTTTAAAGAGCAAGTGTTCTGGATTCAGATCTCCCTTATCAAAGCAGTTGTTTTTAGATGCAAAGCTGGAATTAACAAGCAGCCGAGCTACCCAATATCGGAGGAAAGTGACTGACCGGCTAAAAAAATACATCTGGTGACCTTTGAAGTGAACTGATAGTGACTCCCAGAGAAACAGCTGCTTGTGTCAGACAGAGGTCAGGCTTTGGGGGATTGCCAACACAGGCTAACAACACCACAACACTGAGATTCTTCCAATTCTGAGTGTACAAGAAGACAGGAAACCTTCAACCAATGGCTTGGATAAGTATGCTGCTGTGCACGGTACCTCAGCGGTATTGTGCAGCTACACACAATGTATATCAAAAACAGAGCTTGCCTGCATGTATTGTAAAGTGCAAGGCTATCACTTGCAAAAGAGGTGCTAATTTTTAAAACAAATAGGAATATTTGCACATGTGGAACATGAGGTTCTTAGATTAATATGGTACTTGTTGAAGGACATCTTGTTCATAACCTCTGTAATAGACTGTAAAATATGTATGATATTTTAACAGGAAATATAGTCTGTAGTATCAGATAGAAAACTGCACAGCTCTTCTGACAAAGGCTTTTCCTTTGGGGATGAATTTATCCCTTTCATCTTCAGAAAGTCTCAAACACATTTAATGCTAAAAGGGGTCAACATCTAGCAAACCATTTTCTGTGTCATTGCAAATTTGCCCAGCTAATATATTTATGTCAAAGAATAACTTTCAGACATCCACACATTCACCTGTATTCAACATTCAGCAGAGCCTCCTTTTGGGCCAAAAACAAGTGTCAAAGATTCCAAAGGAAAAACAACTTAGTCTGTGTTTTCAACAAATCTAAAAAGGTTTTTTGAGAAAGAATGTACTTATAAAAACTTCATTTTTCACGTCCACTTTTCTTAGAAGTTCTTTTAACGGCTTCCTTTTTTCCCCAGTCTTCTTCTGCAGTATTTTTTGTCAGCTTCTGAATGTGCAATAGGAACATAAACCTCCATTGCCAGGTTTGTGCTTAGCCACAACAGGCACAGTAAACATAGATGAAGAATAGTTAATAATCCTTAAAAAGTTTTTTTTTCATAGTGGAAGTGAAAACAGGGCTTTTCACTGCAAAGAAGTTCAGCGAAAGTGCTTCTAACATCATTTGCATGTCTGCTGCACTTTTGCCCTTCTTGTTGAATCACATCAGATGTTAAAACTCCCAATCAGATTACCTATTAGGCTGCCCATTGCTATTATTTATAATCAAGACAGGCTTTCTGTGGGTTTGCAGGGTCAGGCAAAGTTCAGTGAGAAAAAGAAGCATGCCACCACAGTAACATTGTTTTACCTATTTCTGATTCATGATTCAAATGCACAAGGAATAACAACATCCAAGAATCAGATACTTTGTGAATGTTTGTTGCATCTCCTGTTATGTGTGAGAAGTTTTGGCTTAACCCGCTTGGTTAAGAGGCCTGGCCATAAGAGGAGGAGGCTCGCACCCCCATTCAGAGAGAGAAGGTTACCAAGGGGTGCAAAAGGTGGAGATGGGCTGGAGGAGGGACGCATGAGACAACTTGCATAAAAAGATTTTTTCAGTGGGATGTGAATAGCTCATATTGGGGAATAATAAAGATTTTAAACAGTCGGGTGAAACTGGAGGTTTTTGGCATTATTCCTCCTGAACTTCAATTAAGACCCTCCATTTGTTGTAACTATAGCCCCCACCCCCAGCACGCAGTAACATTACTTTCAGAGCTTTACCATTCCAACATCGTGCTACGAAGGAGCTGGCTCACTGGCCAGTTTTAGAGACACAGAAACAAATAGCGTTTGTTACTGCACTTATCATAGC